AATCGGACTAAAATTGAGGCCGCTTTTCATATAACGGTAAATTTCAGATATGCTTGAAATTTCAATATTTCGAAATTTAAGGACGCTAATTTACTTAAAATGTATACACCCCGGCTTATCATGTTGCGGTAGCTTTCGGAAAGGTGGAAAACAAATATTTATACTTGCGCCGGGTATTTAATGTTCGGCTTCGCCCGAACTTAGACTTTCTTACTTGTTTATTTTTATTTTTGCTATTGCAATTTTTGTCTTTAAAAAATCTAGAAGATGAGGTCCGTGCCGCTTTCGAGATAGAACTAGTCCGAAATTATTTTAAAAGTGGACATAATTTTTTGTTCATTTGAAAACTGCACATAAATTTAGGACATAACTTTTAAATTATGTAAAATTGGATGACAACCAATCCTATTTTAAAATTCTGACATAAATATTTCATAAAAACCGGGCATACATTTTTGGTCATTTGAAAACTGGACATAAATTTTGTACACAACTTCACAATTATTTAAATATTTCATAAAAACTGAACATAATTTTTTGGTTATTTAAAAACTGGACATACATTTTGGACATAACTTCAAAATTATTTAAGAGTGGATACAGCCTTTTAGTTTTTAAAATCCTGACATAAATATCTCATAAGAGTGAACATAATTTTTAGGTTATTTAAAAACTGTGCATAAATTGTTAGTTATTTAAAAGTTGCCACACATTTTAACTTTATTTAAATATTAACATATATTTTTAATAAAAACTGGTCAACAGTTTTTGGTCATCTAAAAACTTGACCAGAGTTGTTTTTTTAGTTATTTAAAAGTGGCTACGCATTTTGATGTTTTTGAAACTCTGCCCACTATTTTTTGCCTAAAACTCGACATACATTTTTGTCCATTTAAAAACTTAACATGAATTCTTCGACATAGTTTTTTGATTCTTTTAAACTGTCCACATATTTTGAGTCTTTTAAAACCGAAAATTCTTCAACAAAAACTAAACGAAAAGTTTTGGTAACTAAATTTCTCATTTATTTAAAACTTAACAAGTTAATGCTTCGGACTATTTTTGGTAATTTGAAAAATGAGAATGCAATTTGGCTACTTAAAATCTGGGCATACTGAGCATGTGACATATTCATTTATCATCGAATATTTTATATGTTCAGTCTGAAAATGACCTAAATTTTAAGCTGAATTTTTAAATGTAGAAAAATGTATGTTCAAAAATTTATGTTCATTAAAAGATTATAAAAAAATACCCAGTTTAAAATCCTAAAAATTTTTATAACCAAATTACCTAAAATGTATGTCCAGTTTCTCAATTACTAAAATTTTATGACCCGCTTTCAAATAACCAAAACTTTATGTCCAAAATTCTACTTTAGTATTAAATGAGAATAAAAAATGCGACAAAGCGTTTTTTGAAGGACACCATCCGAACGATATTTATCTTCTACCAAAAAATCAGTCCTTCTCATCTTCCACATGAATGAACCAACACATGCGACTTCTTCAGTTACTGGCTAAATAGAACACCCTTAATGGCTTGACAGGACTAGTGCGAAAGAAGTATCGTTCTCGAAGGAAATTGGCTGAAATTACGGCAGGATATCTACTCACTAGTATGTATATATGTATGACCACTATCCTGGGCCGAATATCCGCTTTTTAAGAATTTCTACTGCTTACAACAAAAATATGTTTCATTATGCTGTAAAATAAATCTGTGTGAAAGATGAAAATTTTTGGTCAAAATCCTAGGCTCGCACAAGTCCATTTAAGTTGAATGCGCTCAACAATCTTTTTTAGCTTACTTCAAACGCAAATTTAATACTATAGAAAAAAGGTTAGGTAGGACTAATACTTTCCAAGATTGTTGTAATTTTATTAAAAAAATTATTAGCTTATTTATAATTTACATTTATGGGTGAAAAATAACTCATAAATTACTCACTATATACGAAATTAAATTTAGCACAAAAAAGTCCTTTTTTAAGAAAACACACTTACATACATACATTATGGTTTTTTATTAAATGTTAATAAAATCGAATTTCAAGTTTTTGTGTTAACTTTTAATATATAGGAAAAATCAGAGCTTTAAAGCCGATTTTAATATAAATTTTCTGTTTTTAACATCATAAAATTAAAAACGTGGGGCTTTATATCCGACTTCGCAAAAATTTTAAATTCCAAACTTATCAAGATAAATTAAATAGGTGAAGCAAAAATATTTTTTTTACTTCTTAGTATATTTATGGAAACAAGGTATATTAAGAAGTATTTTTATTTGTTATTTATTTTATTAAAAAACATAACGTTAGTATGTTTCCTTAAAAAAAATACTTTTTTGTGAGTAACTGAACTTATTCAACATTCTTCACCCATAAATAAAAATTCAAATGTAATAAATAAATTAATTACTATTTTTTTTATAAAATTGCAATTATCTCTGAAAGTATTAGTCCTACATAATCTTTGAAGAGCATTAAATTTGCAATCGAAGTAAGCTAAGAACAATTTTTCTTGAACACATTGAACTTTAATGCACCTAAGCGAGCCTAAGATATTGACCAACATTTCTTATCTTTCGCATAGATTTTTTTTAGAGCATAACAAACCATATGTTTTGCTATTAGCAATGAAAATTCTAAAAAGTGTATTTTCGACCCACGCGAATGTACACATACTACCAGCTACAAAACTGGCACTAGTTTTTATTACATTTAAATATTATTCGTACTTAGAGCTTTTTCTCACATATCAATACTCTTGGGACTAGTTAATGCTTATCGTTGTAGTTACTATCTTGTGAAGAACGTTATTAATGTAAGGCACTGCCACATCGAAGTCACTTGAGAACTTAACGAGTATCAATTCGATTATCTGTTATAATTCAATATTTTCATAGACAACAGAATTTTCTGGATTCATAAGCATAATTTAATAATAAAAGGTTTGCTCAGAAAACAGTTTTCTTGCTCCCTTCTTGACAAAATCGGCTCCTTGACAAAATCGGCACTGTGTGGCTTCGTGTGTGTGTGTGTGCAACTCTTTTATAAGGGAGTTAAGGGAGTAACACAACTCTGATGTCACTAGTGAGCACACCTTTAATTATTGAATCATGATTCATAAGTACATACGAGTATATTTGCACAAATATGCATTAAGATGTATGCATGTATATGTACACACATACATATAAACATTCAAAAACGCGTTCTGGTGTACGGGGCGTATACTTGATAAATTAAGCAATTCATAAATTACGAAATATAATAATGCCCTAAATTTTTTAAGGTTCATGCTTATACATATGTAGGTCATAAAAATAAACATATATTTTTTCATTTTCATTTTTACATTTACAGTTGTCATTATACGTGTTATGCGCAAATCCCACCGTCTGGTTCAAAACAACATTGCCTACAAAGTGGAAGTAAAGAAATCATATAAGGTAAGTCTTGAACACTATTCAACTGTATAGATAAGTAATTGATCAATACAAGTATGTATGTATAGATTTCAAAACATCTTAGTCACTTATTAATACATATTTCTTCTTTTTAGATGAATGAATCCGGACAGAAGCTGCTAAAACACGGTCGCATAGTGACACCAAATTCTGAAGCTATGTGTGGCGTTAACTTGGATATTGGCAAGCTATACGTAATTGCTGGTCGTGGTCCATATTTGAATAGTTGCAGTTATGTAAAGGAATATCTGAAGATGTCGGTGGTAGAGAGGCGTGGCTTTGCTGGCGCCTATCGCAAGGGTTGTAAATGTGCGGTGAGTTGCTTGCAAGTCTTTGAGCTTACTTTTGCCATGGAAAAAAACCCCTTTTTATAAAAATCAATTTATGCACTTAAGGGCAAGCTGAGGCCAATTACATAAAAAAGAAGTGCATCAGAGGTCAATTTTGTTTATTGAATTGAACACTGCCAGCAGTTAAAAGTAAATTAATTTCTTCTTACGTAACAAGCCTTTTAAAGGACTTGCCTTAGCTATTTTTCTGGACATTGAAGGTGCTTCCAACAACGCTCTACCAGATTGTTAAATCCCTGTTTCCGACAGTTTTTCGGTCCATTTTCTTAACAAGCTACCGAATTACGGATTTTTAGTTAGTTACGGCGTTTTGTATTTTAGCGACGATGTGATTTAAGCCCTTTCCATACTATACTAACAATATGCAGATGGTTGCTATTTAATCAGACAGTCGGGTGGCTATAAAAGTTGTTCAGTATTGCACAACCACATTTAAAACTCCTGTCGAATTCAGAAATATTTTAAGGATACGGCAGCTAAATATACAACGAGTGTGATATGAGTAGACGAATATGGCGAGGATAGGCACATCTATTTCAGTCTTAAACACATCCTACTATGCGGGAGTACCACTAACTTGTCTTGTGACATAGTGCTTACTACATTGGACTAGGAAATAAACCATGGGCGGAAGGGCCAATTTGTAGAGTGGCTAGACAAAGGATGTAGTTGAATGGGACGATAAAGAAATCGAGAATGTCGAACCTCTGCAATTGCGCAGCCTTAACTAAACTAAGACGGTGATGTCTCCAGCAATACATTTTCCATGACTCCGGTCAGACTTAGGTTGACCCCTCCTCCTAACGGCAGGCATATACTCTTATTGGCTCTCTTTAATTATTTTACTGGAGTGAAACTTTGACAAAAATTTGCAGTAAGATGTCAAAGAAACCTTTATGTTTTCCACATCAATGCAGGCTTTATGCTGAAATTTGGTAGGTATGTCTAGTCAAACTAAGCGGAGAAATTGTTTTCATGGAGCTGACCTTAGCACTTCAACGGTAGCCTTACTCTGAAAAAAGTTTAATGCACATTTTTGACTAATCCTCTGGGTGTTTGCTCATTATAGGAACGCTACACTCTATTCCAATGGCAGCCCATGATCTTCATGGCCGAACCTAAGCACAGTCAGACAAAATTGCTCTGACACTCAAGAGCTCTAGACATCTGTGCAAAAACACTTAAACGTTTGACTATTTACTCCATTTCTACTCTACAACACGGTTGAATACACGTATTCCCTAGCTTAAGTTCTGATGAACATACGAAATTCCTTTTTGCCAAGATTCATGAGATTGCCTCCTATCAACTTACAATGTTTCAAAATTGGCATTTTGAGTTCATAATTCACTGGAGCCTTTATTTGTCACTCAATTTGATAATGTTTTTTTTTTTTGATGAAAGCTAATAAAATTTGCAAGAGACCAATTGAGCCCGATTTTTGAATTTTTGTTTGTTTGTGTTAAATTTTTTAGTGCAAATTGCAAAAAAAAACAAACAATTTTGAACAAACTCGACTAGTTGAAAACAAGTGTAGTTTCCTCCAAACAAACAAAATTTCAGAAGAAAAATTTGAAATGTTATAAAAGTAATTTTCAATAAAATTAAAAGAAAAATGTTTGAGGTTCTAGAAAAATATTGGGTATTTAGTGTTATCGATCATTAAACTTTAATGTAATAAAGTGCAATTTGCAAGTGGCTAAGAGGTCGCGTTGATTTTTAATATAACCAAAGCTTTTATTTCTCATTTAACATGCAGACGTGCTCGACAGCTCGCTCGAAATTTTAAACCTCTGTTTTAAATGTAAAATGTACATTAGGGTGGTCCAAAAATACACGTGGAAAAGTAAAGTCGGAATTTTTATGCTCTCACCCCCTAGGATTGTTCTATACCGAAATTCAAAATTAAAAAATGTTTAGAGGTCGCTCAAAGCGCCCAAAGTTTTCCATGTATTTGGTATGGGGAAAAAACAACTTTTCGTAGAAATGGTATAGAATTCTTAAAAATCAATATTTTTCTATTCGGGAACTCAATTTGTCTGCAGCAGTTTCCCAACAATAATACTAAAATTTTTATTAAACCATTTTTTCATCGCAACTTTAATTTATAGGTCCGCCAAAAACCCACAAAAACTCCGAAAAATTCATTGGGGGGACTAATAAAAAACCGTTAGTATTAAAAAATGGTTAAATAAACAATCGGGTCTTATTACTGAAAGTCTCCTGAAGAAAACCAGAGTTTTCCGATCGAAAAATATTGGTTTTCAAGAATTCTAGACCATTTCTACGAAAAGTTGTTTTTTCCCATATAAAAATACATGGAAAACTTTGAGCGCTTTGAGCGACCTCTAAATATTTTTTGATTTCAAAATAAAAAAATAGGGGTATACTTTTTTTCGATATAGAACAATCCTAGGGGGTGAGAGCATTACAATTCCGAGTTTACTGTTTTTGGACCACCCTAATGTACATATGTATGTGGTCGAATACTACATTTTGCTCAAGACCAAAAAATCTTGAAAATTAATGTGACCATAAAAAATGCTGACCTTAGAATGCACAATATTTGTAGGTCTTACAATTTGGAATAATCCCACGCAACGACACAACCAACTGAAACTCATTTTAATCTACCAAACATAATTTTTTCAAACAAAAATATAAATATGTATGTATGTATAATTAATTAATTTCGTTTCTTCCCTCTTTTTAAATTTTCCACAGGTTGAACCCTGTTTTGGCAACTACTGCTTGGAAGAACGCCAATCCGCCACCGCCTGCAAATGGTCACCGTTTGCCAAATGTGAAACAGATTTTAGCGCTTGCATCCCATCACACTACCGCACACCTGAAGGCATTATCTCCAAGTGCCATTGGCGAAGTACGCCGGCATATAAAAAATGCATGGCCGATCCATAAAGGACAACCAAAGGAAAGGAAAAAGCGATAAGGAAATCTTAAGAAATCGTAGCAGCGCGAAATAAGAGGGCACATATTTTTATGTTTGACTTTCAATTAAAGAAAATTGCTGTTAGTAATTCGTAGCTTATGTATGTAGGTGTCGTTTATCATATACTATACATAATTATTTATTTAATATTAACACAAAGAGATAAAGTTACCAAGTTTGTATGTATTGTTGTTACTATGTACGCGGTGAATTACCATTTTTACCATTTCATTGTAATTTTATTTTAAGAGTCCTTTCATTATTTTCATTTTTTACGGTTATTAATTTTTAATTAATTTCCCTTACGAGTGCGAGTTACACATAAAGCTCTCATTACGTATGCAAGCTTCATTTCCATTCACTGTTCAGAGTTTTATTTTCACCTAATTAGAGCTTTAATGTATGTACATAAATATATGATTAACTGTTATTTGTATTTATTGTAATAAAGCCACATTCGTAATTGTACAAATACTCCAACACACTTTGCATTTTAAATACATATTGCAAATATTTGATAATCAAATTTTAAATGTACTTACCAAATCCCTGGCATTGGGGAAGAAGGTTTGTTCAATCAAAGGAAAGGCGTCACGTCCCAAGCGACGCTGCAACTGCAACAAATGCGCAAATACCCAAGGTTTGTCCTACAATGCAAAACGAAAATCGAATAATTAGAAATTTGAAAACATGGAAAATATGAAATTTTCAGCATCAACACACAGAAATGTATTTTTTATTATTTACTATTTGTTTTTTTTTTTGTTAATCGTAAATAATTTATAACTTACTTGAAATTGATAAATTGAATGCAAAGAATTAATGCTGGGCACTCCGCCATACTTTAATCCAATTAAAGTCGAGCGGTAATCATTGGAACCATCGCGTGGCGGTTGGCGTATCAGCACGAAATCCGGTCGGAACGAGCGTGCCACCTGGTGGGAAAGTAAAATGGGAGAAGTGTTTGTTTTGTTTTTGAATATTTTGTTTTTATAAATGTATGCACATTAGGGTGGTCCAAAATAAGTAAAGTCAGGATATTAATGCTCTCACCCCATAGGATTTTTCTATACCAAAATTTTGTTTAATAATTGGGTACTATTATTGGGAATCACCTCAAGAGAAAGATTGTTTTTCCATCGAAAAATATTGTTTTTTAAGAATTCTATACCATTTCTACGAAAAGGTGTTCTTTCCCCAATAAAATATATGGAAAACTTTGAGCGCTTTGTACGACCTTTATTTATTTTTTGATTTAAAAAAAAAAATAAAAAAATAGGGGTATATTTTTTTCGGGGGTGAGAGCATAAAAATTCCGACTTTACTTTTTCAAATGCTTTTTTTTACCACCCTAATGTTTAATGCAGCTATGCCAGCGCTGGGTATGCCTGGTTTAATGTTCCCCTTGAGAAAATCTATTTCGCTTATTTGACGCGAATAACACCGGTCTGCGAAATTTGGGAGCATGTATGTACATATGTATATAAAAGAAACAATTCTATGAAACGGTCTATGAATATCCGATTCCGTTTACAAATAAAAATATTTAAAAAAAAAAACCCTATATTTGTGACTATGAAATATGGATATGCAAAATGCGTTTTGTTCAAAAGCTTCTTTTTAGGATAAAAGAGATATCTTCACTTATAACGTATAATAATTGTTCCGATTTTTTTTTTTTTTTGGATATTATGATCGGTCCGATATGGCTACTATAATATATAGGTTACACATGTATGTGTGTGCATTAGAATAGTCTAAAAATACACAGAACAGTTTTATTTTTCTTGTCCAATCACGAAACATTTATTTTTAACGACTCACAGTGTGGCGACTAGAAGAAGCTAGGTGGACAAAAGTGAATATTAAATTGCAATCTAATAATGGTGTCGTTACACGAGCAATACTCCAAAAGTAACATCAATGCAAATTATTTTCGTAAAACATTAGTAAATAAGCAATAGTTAGGCGTTAATGTTAGTTTATCAGCTGCTGTTGCTTACATATTTACGAAACTTGATCGAAATAGAAGATCTTGTGAAATTAAATTTTTTATTTGCTCTAAAAGATATATGTATTGCCAGTTTTTTGTGTGAAGATGGAAGTTTAAGGATTTTACTAGTATCTTATATACAATTTGTAACAGTGAACTAGAATTCATATGGAGAATATATAGACAGTGGTTGATTCCTAAAAATATTTATTTTTATTTTTTAACTTTGATAGGGTTGAATACATTTGACAACGCATGACACAAATCTGAGTTTAATATAGTTATTAACGTTCTTTTAATGCTTCCTATTAATGAATCCTATTTTAAACTAAACAAAGAGTGCTTGAAAGTGAACAGAGAAACTTCTTATAAATTTCAAAGTAATAACGGTAAATTTAGCACTAATCCCCCTGTGTCATAAATGCAAATTATTTTCTTAGAATATCAGCAAGCAAACAGTAGTTAGCCTTGAAAGCTAAATCAGCTGCAGTTGCGTATATTCACGAACACCGCTTGAAATAGAATGTCTTGTGAAACGAAGTTTAGCCCTATCTTCTGGCTATGGTTTTATATGCGTGCAACGTTGCACATAATTTTCGGCTACACAATGCTACAAATATTCTCTCATAAATTGTTTGGAAATGTATAAAAAATAAAAGGAACAGTCCAGCGCCTTCGTCTTGGTCTGCAGGCTGTATCGGAGATACACCCGCTAAATTTAAACGTAGAATACGTGGTATGGTTAAGAGCATATCCAAGTCAAAAACGAAAGCACAAACTAAGAAAAAAATATCGATAACAAAAGCGATAATAAAATCGATAACAAAATCGATAAAAATATCGATAACAAAATCGTTAACTAAATCGATTACAAAATCGATAAAAAATCGATTACAAAATCTATCGAAAAA